CCACCACCACCACCACCACTCCTCACGGTTCAGAAAACCAAGAGCTGACAGGTAAGACCTGCGCGTTTATGGTGCCCTGCTTGGAATCCTTGCTCCGGTCGGGGCCGCCGCAGCAGAACAACAGGCCAAGGAAAAACATTCATCACTCACTTTCATGTTTTCCGGCTTGGAGCTCCCACTAACTGTTAAATGTAGGTGTGGGAGATGTAAGGCGGTGGGGCGCCTATTCCTCAAAGAAGCCTGCTACTGCAATTGAGTGAGCCGGCGTCTGCAAGACTCTGGTTGATGGCCTGCGGTCACTGCAGGTTGGGTTTGGAGCGCAGGGCTCGTGCGATCTGCTGTTCCGTGCTGTGGAGTTTGGATCATATTTGCAAGAAGTGTATCGGGGGAGAGTGCAGAAATCTTAAATCCAAGATAATTGCATCATTTTTTCACGCACACCTCACTTGTCAGCCATGCCTGCAGCCCGGCCCCTCAAGAAAATCTGCAGCCAGGGGCCGGCAGAAGCCCGCGCCTTGCGGCCTCTGCTTAGCGCCGACACGCGAGTCAGGAGCTTGACCATATTCGGTAAGGTGCAAACACCTCCTCATGCAACTGGGGTCAGTGGTGGTCGCGGCAGCAGCAGCAGCAGCAGCAGCAGTTGATTCTTCTGGAGCGCAGTTTTTTTGTGGTTCGTGGAAGAGTGTTGTTTAAGCCTTTTTTCCTACAAGTTTCTACTAGTTGGCATCAGGTGTGTGCACTCGGTACTTAATGCGGATCTTCAGCAGGATTTTTGTCCCAGCGGGTATTCTGGCGTGAAAGCGCGCACCATCAGCCGCACCACCTCCCCAGCCGCCACCACCACCGCCACGGCCATCCACCACCGCCGCGGTCGCCACCAACGCCGCCACCACCACCATCACCACCAAAGCAGCTGCAGCAGCAACTTTTGCCACCACGTCATGACCTGCAAGTCAACAATTCGTACTGCTGCTACTTGTAGTAGTTAGTAGTACCCTTGCTGGCACTCCGCCCCTCAGCTATTGAAGGTATGGTTTCTGTTGAAGGATTATAAGGAAGAGTTGTGTGAGATTTAGCAATCGATTGAATCTGGATGGTTGTTTCTTTCGTAAGGCAACATCCCACTTTCGATGGCCTACCCTAAGCCGTAAACAATAAGCTACCGGCTAAACCGCGGATGTATGCCTAGATTGGCATCCCAAATTCACGAAGAGAGCAAGAAGTTTGCCTTCGATACCGGGGCCTGCTCCTCAAGACCTGTGGTCGAGTTCTAGACGTCAGGATTTGGGGTCTAGGGTTTAGAAGGTTTGGGGTTAGGCGACTTGGGGGTAATTAGTTAAGATTTTAGGGCATAGGGAGCTGAACTAGCTGCTTGAGCTACCGTCTCAGGAACTTCCTCCTGGTCCTCTTAAGCAAGGGTGCTCTAAGCATGTGTCACACTGGAGGCTTCAGGCAGTTTTTTGTGGGGTTCCAGAGGGTCCAGTGCACCGTTGTTTCCGGGTTAAATGCGTTCATTGCTTGGTTATTTTCGCGAGACGTGGGTTCTGTTCATGTTGCCTTTGGGGTTTGGCTTGTGAGGGTGGTGAGGTTTAGGGAGTAGTTCAGGCCGCTTCATAGCATCCAGCGCCAGCGGCTTTCCCCTTTTCCCCGGGCACTTGGTGTGCTAGTGCTACCCGATCTCCTTGGTTCGCCCTGGCATCTGCAAGATTACACCCGTTAGCTCAGGAGAGTGTGACGGCCCAACCGTGCAGAAAGCTACCCATGTTGGAGTTCATTTTGAACGTTGACGGTCGCGCTCGGGTTCTCATTGTAGCGGTTCCAGCATTTCAGTAGCTGTTTGGGGCCTCCTACGTGCAGTTACGCTCAATTTGCCCCATGAGGCATAGCTGTGAAGTCAAATGATGCAATATCGAACCTGTGGTGACTGTGGTGCGGGATTTATTAGGAGCCAGAAGGGGCTCGGGTTGTTGCAATACGAAGCATCACCAAAGCGGAAAGGAGTTTACATGATGGGTGTAGAACAGACAAACAGAAGATTTCACATAATGGGTATAGAGCTGGAACATGAGGAAATTAGAATGCGAGCGCATTCATGCTCTTCAAGTTTCAGACTTCTATGGGCATGTCGGCATTGTCTTCTTGAAGAAGCCGTGGCAAACCGCAGCTTCTGTGCCTGGATGAGTGGGCTTGGTCTTGTGCCTGTACCAGTGCAGAGAGGCTTTGAGAGAAAGCTAAATGTCAGCTTGGCTCAGAATCACCAGTACATCACCTTGTATGTAGTAGACCAGCACTGGCATTGCACATTAGAATTGTGGGCAATTTTTAGATATCAGTTTGCTTGCAGATCCGCTGCTGCATCATCTACGGTGGTGCCGACATGCGGGAGCAGCGCAGTGAGCTTGAAGGGCCGCGGCCACAGCAGTCCATTTACACGGAGCCTAGATATAGATAGTTCGCAAGAGAAAGGCGTTTTCAGCAAAGATTGCCTTCAGAATCCTCCTAGGGAACTTGGTTTCACAGCGCAGCTAACCATGATTCGAGCACAATCCGACTACAACATCAAACGGATGGCAGAGACTTTCTGTGTGCTGCCCAAAAGACTTTTCGGCTCTTCCCCTGCTTTCATTCTGGCTGCCATTCGTAAAACTGAGTGCTTCCCAAACAATGTCAGTGACTTTTAGAACATGCATGTAGAACGATTTCTTTGACTGAGGCTCTGATGCTGTAAGGTACCGAACCCACCCCCAAGGACTTCCGCAACTGCAGTGTATGCGAGTAATAGATAGTAACAGTTTTGCTGGTACGTAGAATCATGAGTCATGAGGGTAGTAGCAATGCCCGTTGTATCCTCGCAATCGTGCTGGCCACAGCAACAGTCTAATCAGAACAGCAGCAACCATGACTATGAACAGCCATAGTGACCATCATATTGGGTCGGGCTGTGACCAGAGCCCAGAGCCTCACCGGCACAGGAGTGAAGTGGAAATCCTGGCATTATGTGGTTTATGGTGGTGTTGTCATACTTTTCATACTGCTAGACTTCTTTCATGTTTTGTGACTCAGGGGCTGCGATGTGCTAATTGCGACGCCGGGGCGACTTACCGACATGTACGAGCCCGGGCACCCAGTGAAGTGAAGGCTGTTGTCATGGGACAGAAAAGTCTCAGGGCTTCTGATTGCATAGTGTGTAAGGTTTGAGTAGGCACATTATCAAAATAGGATGCCTGTTGTGTGTATCCTGGGCGTGCTTCTCTGCACACAGCGGGCCCAAGGGAAGGCAACAGCAACAAGCTCCCATTTGTTCTGCTGCTAGTCTGTGCAGGTTGTCTACCATTCTTGGTGGTATTTCGTTGTTACCACCTTCTATTCACAGCTATTCCTGTTTGTCGCACAGGAGGCTCTCCAGTGCCTCTTGTAAGACACTTTCATCACTGCGCTTGTCCTTGAGCTAGATAGGGAAACACCTAAGTCATAAAAACCAGGTAATACCCTATAAGCTCAGATTCTCACTGTTAGATATAGCATTATGTAGTGTATTGCAGCATGCCTACCTGGGCTTGAACGATGCAAGTCAAGTCTACAGATAATTCGTACAGTCGGCCCTAATGTCCTTAAATCTTACCTACTTTGGCTGTTTGGATCCCTGTTTTTTGAGGAACGACTTGCGTGGTCTAATGCGAGGAGTTTTTGCTAGGACTACAAAGTTTGGGGAGCCTCAGCTTCCCATCTTGCCCTAACCTGGGTCCATGTCGAGGGATAATCTGTCTTTACATAGCTTTGGGATCCTGTGTGAGGTTTTAGGCTGCGTATCGGGATATCAAGTGGCATCCATGGTTCAGTGATTAACATTTCAGGGATCCTTCACCCTGCCTTTCTTGACTAGGACAAATCAGCCCACCAAAAGATGTAAGAGGTTTTAGACAGGCAACATTTGGCAAAGCTTGTCAAGTTCCAAATACGCATAGACACCATTCTGAAACCCTAAAGCTGAACCCTATAGACATCATTGAGATTCCAAAGCAGTTTTCCTGACAGTCCGAGGTTGCTGCTCCCAGTCCAGCCCCAAATCAAAGCTTACAGTAAACCACTATATATTCACAGTTTCCATTTCTCTTTCTATGTACCTTGCCATTCAATTTGTTTCTCCAGTGCTCTAGAATCCACTAGCGACCGCCATAATCCTCACTTGCTATGTTATCTCTAATTTCTTTTCTATTTGATTCCGCGTTATGGGGACCTTGCCAGTGGCTTTTCTCCTCTGATTGTAGAGACTGAATGCCCACTTGCTTTGTGGTAACTTGCAAGGACGCAATAAAGTTCCGGACATCCTGGAATGCACTCCACAAGATGTTTAGCAGCACATCGCCTGACGTAGCATCTGCATGGGCAGGTATTCTTGTCCAGCTTCTTTCAAGCACCTGACCCCTCTATACAAGTAGGCTGAAGCAGCTTTGTTCAAGGCGCACGTTCCTGTCGCTGGCCTGCGTGCAGTTCTTTATCCTTGATGAGGCTGTGCAGTTGTAGAAATGTATGTGGGTAGACAGCTCGCCGGAAGGCTGATTGTTTGCCAACCAGCATAGAAATTTGAAATACTAGCCGAGATTCAGACATTCGATCTTCATCATGATGATGGTCATGCTCATTATCCCAATCCACACAAAGCAGAAGGTGTAGCTTGACCTTTTGAAGGTGAGGCCTCAGCTGAACTGCTGATCTTCACCTGAACACTTGCGTCTCAAACTGCTCCCTTGAGGCTTCCAGAGGAACATGCCGCTCATAGGATTCAATCGCCATGTGCAGAGGTCTTGATAGAGCTCAGGGTAGGATGTCATGTACAAGTTTCCTGCAAGGCAAGAGCACACACTACCTTGAATACCTGAATCAATGTAGACTCGCGAACGCGTACTGCGAGTGCTGGGTGCCTTGGCTTTGGCAGTAGTCCGAGTCCCCTAAGACTTTGCAGCTTCACGAGTAAGGTCCCTAACGTTCTGCGCACAAACGTGTTGACGATTGCATCTCCGAAGTTGGTTGGTTCCTTGATACCGTTCAACCCGGGCTTCCACATTTACACAAAGTGGAGTCGAACTGCTCACCGATCCCTGAACACTGCATTCCTTGTTTCATTACGTAGCCTGGAGACCCACGTGGCCAGGCTGATCGGATGCTTGACATGGGTCTTCCTGACTGATTTCCAAGCTGTACCATCGCTTAAGAGTGATGCTGGGAATTGGGGTTGAGGGTTTCATGATATCCCTGGCTTGGGGTTGTAGAGGTAAGGGTTCAGGAGTCTGGAGATCAGAGTGGAAGGCTTCAGGTTTCCTTGCGAAAGGGTATGGATCGGAAGTTCAGGGATTGCAGCTTGAGATCTCAGGCTAGAGTGTTCGGTTTGGAGGTAAACAAAACCTACCCCCAAACATTCATGCCCGAGGGTTTGATGGATGTTTTCAGGTCTTGGGCTTGGGGGTGGCCTCTGCATCCAGAGCTTAAGCCTTGTCATAAGATTTTGAGATAAACGCTTAGGGTGACAAGGACGAGCCATAGATTTCAAGCCATTTCGT